GTTAGGTTTCGGTTTAGGGGTTAATTTTAGCTTTAGCGCTCACAACGTGCTTTTTTCGTCGAACTGTGATGACGTCAGGTATGCGGTTTCGTCGAGCGCGCTTTAGTCGACCGCGGTTTTGTGGTGGAACTGTGAGATTATTATACAGTATGCAAAAGATAGAAAGACTCTGAAATATTTACAATGGAGGAATAGGGAAGATGACAGAATTTGCAGAGATGACAAAACTGACTTGTTTTGAGTAGAGAAAAAGACAATAATATTTGTTAGTGAATAGAAACCCTTTTTAGAGTTTTTGCTAACTATAGAGAGATGATAAAAATAACAGCAGAATTGAAAGCTGCTTCTTTAAATCTTCATATCCTTTTCCTTTTTTTCTTTGTATTTCTTATTTCTTATTTTTCTTTTTCTTTAAATTTGTACGGTTTTTCCTCTCTAGACAAATTGTTCAAAAAAAAACTATCTTCCTGTACTCAATTGCATTACACATACCATAACAGAAATATTGTTCATACTCTTTTCATATAAACTCAAAAGGAATTTGTTTTCATTTCTTTTTAACTCTTGCTAGCAAATCAAATAATAGCTTTGCCCCTAAAAGTGGTAAATACAATCATCGTCTATTGCATTTATGCTTATTAACTTATAACTTTTAATAAAAGCAATAGTAAATATTCAATTACAAATACATTCTGAATTTTCCATATCATCTCTCTCTCTCTTTTTTTTTAAATCAAGAAGACAAGTGTTTGAAGAACTGCCGTTCCTATTGCCTAACTGAATCTTTAATTTTGTTTTTGTGGTTTAACAGTTTTTTGGACTCATTATCCTTGAGATCTGTATCACAAATCCATACTTTTTAGATATTTTGCAAGATATCCTAATATGACTAAGCCTGTAACTGTTAAAAGTAAGAGAGAGAGAAAAATAGAGAAAGTATGAGTAGAGTTTACAAATTACAAAGATAATGCGTCACTCTTTCAAAAATAAGCAAAATGTACACTTTCATTTGGACTAATCACCATAAAATCACATTTAAGTCCTGTCAACCATCCATGGAAGAATTGTTTGCTTCAAATGCTTTTATGGCTGTTGTATTGTACCGACTGTACTTTATTTCATTTTATGGGTTCCTCCTCCTACCTCTGATATACTGAAGAGCAGACTGTCATGGCCTTTTCCTTTACACAGTTTGCAGATAAAATTTGTCCTATTTTTTTTTCTTTATTATTATTTTTTCCCTAACTTACTTGGTTTTAACANGCGCTCTGGAGGTTTCAGGGAAGCTCCTGAAGCCTCCCGAGGGCCTAGGGGGGGACGGACAGGGGAGGCTGTTTTCGCCCTCCCCAGGCTCCTATAAAGTCTTTGGAGCCTGGGGAGGGTGAAAAAAACATGCAAAAAATTGGGGGGGGGAGCGCTGGTCATGTGCGTACGCGTGCTGGGGTCGCGCGTTGCATTATGGGTGTGGCACGCCTGCGCACAACCCCCTTGCGTTTCCCCCCACTTTTGGCACGCGAGCCAAAAAAGGTTCGCCATCACTGAACTAGATTATTAAATGCAAGTTTCAAATCAGGGAGTTTAACTAAAATTGTATATTCTTAGCAAATTGTCAGAAGCAGAAAATACAAAGATGTTAACATACTCTAGCTGATGATGATAGCATGAATGTATCTCCATTGTATTATATTACACGGGGCAGTGGAGATGGCCACATGCTTTGGAAATAAAATGCTTTATATAATTTTCTACCATACAAGTAACTATATCTGAATAAGAATTGGATAAAAGTGTTGGGATTTTAATGGATATGTTTGATGTGACCTATAGAGGCTTATTTTTTAGAAAGTAATTTATATACAGTGTAGAGATATGAGTAAACCAATCCAGAATTAAACTGTATCTCAGCCCTTCATCCTAAATTGCCTATTTGTCTTTGTTCCAGACCACCTCCAACCTAAATAATTTGATTCCTTTACTCATAAACTCAGTGACTCAATAAATTTGTGGGATGGGACTATAAGAGATTATGTACAGGAAAAATACTCTCCATTGTGCTTTTTTCACCCAAATAAATTGGCAAAACATTTCAAATATTAAATGCTACCCTATGCTAATTACTAGAAATTATGCTTAGTTTTAATTCAATTATGTGTTTGCTATTGTAATAAGTGGTAATAGTTTTGTCATTTGTCTGTGCATATTTGATGTTTTTAGGAAACACAGGAAGCCTAAATGTTTTAAAGAGTTGTTTAACTCTTTGTTTAACACTGTAGGCAAATATATAAAGCCCCCTGGGATTTACTTAAAAGTTAAATGATTCATCCAGTGCATGCTTTCCTGACAAAGCAGTAAATCACAGCTTGATGTAAGTTTGACATTTCTCCATTTCTTATAGTATCTAGGATCATTTGTGGTAAATGATAAACTTCCTGCTAACGGACACAGGTGGCCTGTTGAGGTCGAAGTCACTATGTGTGGGGTTGAGACACTTACTTTTCTTTGCAGAAAAGAGCAACAAGGATGATTAGGAGTCTGGAGGCTAAAACATGAAGAACAGTTGCAGGAATTGGGTATGGTTAATCTGATGAAAAGAGGGGCTAGGGGAGACATGATAGCAATGTTCCAATATTTGAGGCACTCCTACAAAGACGGGGGGGGGGGGGTCAAACTATTTCCAAAGCACCAGAAGGCAAGACAAGAAGCAATGGACGGAAATTAACCAAGGAGAGAAACAACCTTAGAACTAAGGAGAAATTTCCTAATAGTGAGAGCAATAAACCAATGGAATAGCTTGCTTCCAGAGGTTGCGGGTGTTCCATCACTTGATATTTTAAAGAAAAGACTGAACAGCCATTTGTCAGAAATAGTATAGGGCAGCTGTGGCGAATCTTTTCTGGCTCCTGTGCCATAAGTGGGGGGAGCGGAGGGGGAGGTCATGCGCAAGTGTGCCGCACCCATAATGCGATGCGTGACCCCCCCCCCCCATTTTTTGCATGCTTTTTTTTGCCCTCCCCAGGTTCCAGAAGCTTGGGGAGGGCGAAACAGCCTCCCCCCCCCGCCGGGAGCCCTCCGGAGGCTTCAGGGACCTTCAGGAGGCTTCCCTGAAGCCTCTGGAGGGCAAAAAACCGACCCCACGAGCAAACCGGAAGTGACTTCCGGTTTGCTTGTAGGGTTGTTTTTAGTCCCCCGGAGCCTTCATGGAAGCCTCCTGAAGGCTCCAGAGGGCTTAAACCGACTACCAGCAAACTGGAAGTCCATTCCCATACTTCCTGTTTGCCCATAGGGCCGGGTTTTTTTGTACTCCAGGGGGCCTCCGGGTGGGGTGGGAGGCTCTTTTCGCCCTCCCCAGGCTCCTATAAAGCCTCGAGCCTGGGGAGGGTGAAAAATGGCTTTAAAAAAGGCTGAACTCAGCTGGCCAGCGCGCGCACGTTCCCTGACATGGCTCAGCGTGCCAACTGTGGTTCGGCATCCTGGGTATAGGGTCTCCTGCTCGAGCAGGTTTGGACTAGAAGAAGGTGCATTAACAGATTAACCGAGTTGGAAGGAACCTTGCAGGTCATCTAGTCCAACCCCCTGCCCAAGAAGGGGACCCTACATCTGCCTCTACCTAGGATCAAACTCACAAGACCTCCAAAGTCCCTTCCAACTCTATTATTCTTTGTTCTATGCTTAACTATTACTTAGGCCACCATCCAGGGTGCATATTGCTTTAGCTGTAGATATATACTGTTAGTGTATTATGTGAATCACTGAATCTCTTGAATTTAAAAAGCATTCAAGTATAACTTAGTATACTATACATTACATTGCCAAATATAGTTACGGTAGTTTTGGTTCCCTT